TCTTTTAACTGCTTTTTAACACACCCTCCATTGTTTTGAAAGCAGCCTTAGGCTTGAACTTTCCCACACTTTGTTGCAAATGAAGTCTGTTTCTATGGGGAGAGATTCTGAACTCTGTTTTTTGACCTGCCTCTTCCCCTGGGCAAAATCTCTGAGCCAATGCTCTGGATGGAGACAATGGCATGTTTTTTTCAGTGTGGCACCATTGCTTTAGGGGCTGGGTAAGCAGCAGAGCAGGTGCAGCCGTAGCTTTTGTTCTTCATGACATGCTTCTCCCAACATTGGACTTGTGCTGAATGAGCCAGGAATAGGTGGTCTGGACCCCAGTATTCTCAGTGTCCCAGATCAAAGGTAGAACATCCATCCCATGAATGGTAACTGGGCAGAGAAAGGGAGCCCCCATCTCTTGATCACACTTGGCCAGAACTTAGCCTGTGCAAAGGGCAACTGGGACAGGATGAGAAATACTGAAGTCCCTGACCTTCCTTGGAAGATACTACACCGCTTTGGGAACTCTGAGGAGAGGGAACCCTGTGTACTCAGCTGCACCAAATGGAGTGGAGTTTCCATCATGCTCAGCTGAGAAGGAGTAGAAGGGAATGGCCCATGGTTCAAACACCACAGACTCTCATGATTCTGAGTTTTGGTATATTTTCATTAAATGTTTATTTTCTGTATGGCTTTAGAACCATTTCTAGATACTTAAAATACTTGTGATGGATTTTGCTGTTTTTAAAAGTAGTTTGTTAGCAGTGACGAATTCATACAGGTCTGCAGCAACCTCAGTTCTTGCTTCCAAGGAGGAAAGAATTTGGCCGACAGGCATAAGGCAGAGTGAGAGACTGAGGCAAGTTTTAGAGCAGGAGTGAAAGTTTATTGAAAAGTTTTAGAGCAGTAACGAAAGGAAGTACACTTTGAAGAAGGCCAAGCGGGTGACTTGAGAGATTCAAGTGCTCTGTTCAGCCCTTGACGTGAGGCTTATACATTGGCATGGTTCCAGAGTTTGTATTACTTCTCCCCAGATTCTTCTTGGTGGGCACTCCCCATGCGCAGTGGCCTGCCAGTACTTGGGAGGGACCACATGCACCGTATGTTTACTGAAGTCGTGTGCTTGCTCACTTGAGGCATTCCCTTATCCATTGAGTGTTCCTGGAGAAAGATCATGTGCCAGTTAAGCTCTGCCATTTTTCTTCTTAGTGCACATGCCTGAGCCCACTCGCCCAACTCCTGCGATCTCGTCGGGAAGCTGCTGATCACCAGCTTCAGGTGTTTTCTATATATTGGGAGACCGCTGTCCCCTGGCACCAGCTGCAGCCAATTGTTATTTTAGAGAAAGTTTAACAACTGCCTGACCATCATCTGATGGTCGCCTGACATTTCTGGGGGTCAGGGGAGCCTTTCCTGCCCTGCTCATGTCTCCCTAGCTAACTACTCTAACAATTTTACTGGAGAGTAAGTCCACTCAATTCCCTAGGCTGCCATGCGAGAAGTTGGTCATTCCCAGCTCTTCCTTTGCCATCTGGATATGCTTAGTAGGAGTCAAAACCCAGCCCACAGTCTGACTGAACTCTTCCAGATATAAATGTCATATCAGACCTATGGTAGATTGTCTGCAGAGAAGACCAGAATCACTTCTCACATCCCCCCTGTCCTTTGGAGGAAGAGGCTATTTCTCTTCCTTTGGAATCTGGACTGACCTTGTGACTTGTTTTGACATAGAGAGCAGTAGAAGAGACACCATGATAGTTCTGGGCCTAGGCCTTATGAGAGCTGAAAGCTTCCACTTAACTCTCTAAGAAGTCAGCACTGTGTAAAGAAGTTCAGTACAGATTACTGAATTAGAAGAGATGCCACATGAAGGAGAACAGAGCACCTGAGCCAGCACCCAACCCAAAGACTCCAGACATTTGAATGAGTGCAGATGAAGGCTGAGCCATCCCAGACAGCTCCCAGTAGTTTGTGCCATCTTCACTGAGGCCTTAGCCTTGTGGATGAGATAATCTTGGATCCCATAGCCCTATTTGAGATGGCTCAACTGACACAATGTGGAGCAGAGATGAACCATCCCTGCAGAGCACTGACCATATTCTTGACCCACAGAAGTATGGGCAGTAAAGTGGTTCATGTTTTAAACCACTAAGTTCTGGGGTGTTTTGTTTGGTAGCAGTGAATAATAGAAACAGGTTTTCAGTTTCCTGTGGCAGAAACTAGTCCCTTCAAATCCCCTCGTTCAGCCTGAGCTGGAAGGGCACAGATCTCACCTCCCCATGGGGACTCACAGTCTTACAATGACCCTTTCCAAAGGACTTCCTCACAAGGTCCTTGCTCAGTGCTTTTTTGAGAGTTGAGATTTGATTTTAGAAATATACACCTAGGCCAGGCGTGGTGGCTCGTGCCTGTAATCAGAACACTTTGGGAGGCTGAGGCAGGCAGATCACCTGAGGTCAGGAGTTTGAGACCAGCCTGGCCAACATAGCAAAACCCTGTCTCTACTAAAAGTACAAAAATTAGCCAGGTGTGGTGGTGGGTGCCTGTAATCCCAGTTACTCAGGAGGCTGAGGCAGGAGAATGGCTTGAACCTGGGAGGTGGAGGTTGTATTGAGCCGAGATCATGCTACTGCACTCCAGCCTGGCCAACAAGAGCAAGACTCCGTCTGAAAAAAAAAAAAGAAATATGGATCTATGGTATTGTAGCTTCTCAGTCAGAACCTCATTTTTAACATACTCCTACATACGTATTTATTTTCATATTATCTGTGTCCACTAAGAATGTAAGCTCCTTGAGGGCAAGAACTCTGTTCACTTCTGTATCCTAGCCCTAGAATAGTACATGACCAATGGTAGGTGCCCAGTAAATATTTGTGGGATAAATGGCTACTTTGTGTCAAACAGTGCACTAGGCTCAGTATGATCTCTAGTGTTGTCTCAGTTACTCATAGTGGACTCTCCAGATGCCCCAAGCCAGATCTCAGCCTGCCTGTTCTCAGTGCAGCTGTGATGGATGGTTTCACCCATCGTTGCTAGCATGCCTCATCAATTGTGCCCCATTCTCTCTCTTGCTGTTTTATTTAAATAGTTGTATGTCTCTTGACTTTGCTGCCTCCAGCTTCAGAACAGGAGAAGGCTGCCTATCCGCACACAGGTGCAACCCTGAGGCACTGGGAGTTAACATTACTTGGGCTGCCCTCACTCATGGGCAAAGGAACCAGGGAGCAGATCCCCTAGCTTCTCTGTCCTTCAGCAGACAACTGTGAGACATGTTCTCCATGGTCCCTCATATCCCCAGCAAGATTGGGCCCCAGTTGCCCAAGGTATTAACCAGTTTTTAACACATTCGTTCTTCCTTCCCTTCCCTGTCTTGCTCTTTATACTCCATCACTTGCATGTCCCACGGTCACCTTGCAAAGAAACCACCTGTCCTAAGTCTTTATCTCAGGTTCTGCTTTCAGGGGAACACAACTAAGAACACTTAGGTTCTCTTGTTTAGTGTCACAATAACACATGAGATAGGGGGTATTAGTTCTATTTTATTAGGTAAGAAAAGTTAAGGCTTAGGGAGATTTAAGTGTCTGGCTCAACATCACTAAGCTAATAAATGGTAGGTTTAGGATTTAAACGCAGGCTTGTCTGAACTCCAAATTATGTGCTCTTTCCACTGAACCGTGCTGCATGACCTTGGAAAATCCCTCTGATTGCTTTCAGCTTAGTGTCTTTATTTGGTAGATGGGATCTGATGTGAGTTTGCAGAGTCGAGTGGCCACAGGGCACAGCAGGGGCTGTGGCCGGCTGGAGAGCCTGTGCCCTGTCCAAAGCAGCCAGCTGTTCCTTGGCCTCAGGTGGTCAGCCTGTGTGGGAAGGTGAGCCCAACACCCCTGCATCTTCCGCCTGCATATGAGAAACCAGGCATCATACTGACATGAAATCTGTCAAGTTTTAAATGGTGGCAACTAATTCAAATGTGTCTTAAACCCTATGCAAACTGGAAAGGGGCCTAAGAGAACTTTTTAGAGTGATGGAAATGTTTTATATATTGATTGGGGTGTACACGTTTGGCAAGCACCAAATGGTACATTTAAAATATTGTGTAAGGGCTTGGTGCTGTGGCTCACACCTATAATCCTAGCACTTTGGGAGACTGAGGCAAGCAGATCACTTGAGCCTAGGAGTTTGTGACCAGCCTGGGCAATGTGGTGAAACTCCATCTCTATAAAAAAATACAAATAGTAGCCAGGTGTTGTGGCGCATGCTTGAATTTCCAGCTACTTGGGCAGCTGAGGTGGGAGGATCATCTGAGCCCAGGGAGGTCAAAGCTGTGGTAAGCCATGATCACACCACCGTACTCTAGCCTGGGCAACAGAGTGAGATCCCATCTCAAAATAAATAAAATAAAATATTAGGTAAGTTATTATAGGTGGGATAGAATCATAGAAAAAGAAAAGACCCCATGTGTGGCAATCAAAATACGTTCTTTTGAGATTTTTTTTTTTTTTTTTGAGATGTAGTCTTGCTCTGTTGCCCAGGCTGGAGTACAGTGGTGCAATCTCACCTCATTGCAACGTCCGCCTCCCAGATTCAAGTGATTCTCCTGACTCAGCCTCCTGAGTAGCTGGGGCTACAGGTGCGCATGCCACCATGCTCAGCTAATTTTTGTATTATTAGTAGGGGCAGGGTTTCACCATGTTGGCCAGGCTGGTCTCGAACTTTTGACCTCAAGTGATCCACCTGCCTCAGCCTCCCAAAGTGTTGGATTACAAGCGTGAGCCACCACGCCCGGCCTCTTTTGAGATTCTGTAATAGTCTGTGATTAATCACATGTAGCAAACAGTTATGGGGGAAAATGGAACTTGTTCCAGGACATAGTTGAGGTTTACTAAGGAGAGTCCATCACAAAGTTTGACAAAGGAAATCAACCTCTCTGAGACCATATGTTCCATGCTAATATTTTTCTTTCTTAGCCTCAGGAGAATCATCCAGATGGCTGGGTTTCTCTTCTTTCTTAGGGTACTGGAGAAGACAGCTGGATCACATCTCTGCTCACCTCAGGTGTTATGCTCAGAACAACCCTGAATTCCGGGCCTTGATTGCAGAACCCAGGATGGGAAAGGTGGGTGAGATGAAATTTCTACTCCACAAGTGTCTATGGGATCAGGCTGAAGGAACCCTCCATGGACTTCTCCTAAAACTGCATCTTGCCTGGCTCCTTTCCCTTTCTTGTTCTGCTTTCTACACGTTCTTACTCTTCTGCCTTGTGAACTCTGCTCTAATAAATCATTTGCACATGAAGATTGTCTCAGAGTCTGCTTCTGGGACGTCTGACCTAAGACCTAAGACAACAAGATTCTGAACATCTCGTGCTCAGACGCCACATTGGAAATTCTAAGAGTCAGAATGAAAGGTCCTAGAACAATTAAATCCAGCCAGATTGTGCACTTAAATCATGCACTGTTAATATATAGCCATAGTAACGTAACAGCTGCCATTTTACAGTGCACCCAGCATCAGCATTGTATTCATCATTCTCATCTTCACAGCAAACCTGCAAGACAGGAGTATTACCTTTGTGATCACTTTTTAAAAAAATAACCACAAATTTATTGACTGTCTTCCCCTCAAATGGTAGAATCTGTGTCCCTTCACCTTGAATCTGAGCGGGTCTGTGACTGTTTAACTAACGGACTATGGTGGAAGTGATTCCATGAGACTTACAGGGCTTGGCCACAGAAGGTCATGTGGCTTTCTCTTGCTTGGCACACTCACTTCCAACACTCCTTCTTGGAGCTCAGCCACCCTGCTATGAGAAGCCCAAGCAACATGGAGTGGCCACATGTAGATGCGCCAGCTGAACCCAGTCCTCGAGTCATCTCTGCTCATGAACCACATGAGTGACCAGACTCTAGATGATTCCAGCCCCCAAACATCCAACCACCTCTAGCCATTTGACTCTTCTAGCTGAGGCCTCAGACATGTGGAGCAAAGACAAGCTTGTCTGTTGTGCCCTCTCTGAATCCATAGCATAATAAAGTGGTGGTGGTTTAATGCCACTAAGTTTGGGGTGGTTTTTCACACCACAGTTGATAATCAGAAGAAGCCTTATTTGACATCCAGGAATATTGAAGCTCAGAGAGGTTTGGTGACCTGCCCAGGACTACGCTGCTGGGTCTCATGGGGTTCAAGATTTGAAGCAGATCTGTCAGACCCCTGCCAGAGTCCCATGTCCTTTCTTTGATATTACATTGCCATTAGAAAAAGACAGCTCTATGAGAAGACCTTTCCTCTGTTTGTCGCAAGACTAGAAGGAACTTTATGAAATAGACTGTGCACTCTTCTGCTGCCAAATAGGCCAATATCGAGATGATCTCATTTTCAAGTATTGCCCAGTTTCCTTTGATAATCTATTTTGGTAGTTTATGAATTCTTCAGTCTAATCCAGAGATCTGCAAACTATGGCGGTTGGGACAAATCTGGCCCACTGCCCAGTTTTATAAATAAAATTTTATTGGATCACAGCTGCACCCATTCCTTTACTTATGTGGCTGCTTTGTGCTATGACAGTAAAGTATTCACGATACAGAACATATGGTCCACAAGACCTAAAATATTTACTATCTGACCCTTCATGAAAACATTTCTTGCCCCTTGGCTGAATCTAAATTCCTATTGCTACTTACAGAGAAAGCTGCTCAACTGTGATACTTGTCCCTTAATTGCCAAGCCCTGTCCCCACCCCCTACCAGGATACATTTTCCAAGGTGATGACATCTAGTCATGTGGTTTGATTAAAGTTCATCTCTTGAAGAGTGTATGTATAGATTTGGATCTTGCCTTTTTATTCAGTTTGGCAGTCTCTTCTCTTTAATTATTTAGCTTATTTATAATTAGTAGAATTTAGATATGGTTGGATTTGGATCGCCATTTTCTTCTTTGTTTTCTATTTATCTCATCTAGTTTTTGTTGCTCTGTTTTTCTTTTTACTTTCTTCTGTGTTATTTAAATATTTGGTTACATTTAGAGTTTAACATCTCAGAATTTCTATGCTGTTACTTAAGGCAGTGAGTCCTACATTCACAGTTATGAATTCTCTCTACAACTCTTTTAAAAGCTTATCTCTGCTACTGTCCACGAAGATGGTTGTGAAGTTAGCATCAGACTGAATTATAGTCAAGTCTCAAACAAGGTGAGTAAGCCTCCAGAAGTTACTCATTTGAGAATTGACTGATGTAGTAAATTGAGACTTACAATTTATAGAAATGCTTCTGTGTAATCCATAGAAAGGAAAAGTTTCAAATATTATGAAATGCTACTAGAGGCAAGCGATTTCATAGAATTGGATAAACAAGTTAAACCTCAGACAGACACATAAAGATATAGTGAGAACAGGAGTTGTTCTGTAGTTCTCAGGCTTATTCAGACTCACTGAAGTCTGATGACATGTCTGTGATACAATTGATTTGGGGAAAGACTAACAAAAATATTTGCTGATATGCACTTTGACATACTTTCTTCTATAAAATAAACCAAACTTTGTGGCCATGTGTCCTTGATCTTCCCTTTTATATGGTGACTGAGGCATTGCCACAGAGCCTGTAAGTGTGTTTCGAACATTAATTGATTGACATTAGCAGCTTTAGTTTCATTGGACAAGAAGTCAGAATAATTAATCAATCCATTAAGAAACCAAGGAAAAGGAGGGAAATTAACATTTATTAGGCCCTGGCAAGGTGCTGATGGTGTTGCTGAAATTGGGATAGAAACATGGGCCCTGTCTAACTCACAGGGAGGCTGCGAGTATCTAATGGGCTAATGCACATGAATGTGCTTTGAAACCAAATAAAGCACTAACTGCTGTTTTTAATTGTGTGGCTAGAGCAGAGCTTGGGTCAGAGAGGAACTTCAGGGGAAGGGAAGTGAGAAAAGCAGGTCAAGGCAGGGGAAGGGGCTGAATGAGCAGGTAGACAAAAGCAAAGCTGAGCTTTAGCCTGATCCAAGGGAACCTCTGGAGGATGAATTACACCACAAAGTTGCCCCCAGTTGAGTCAGGGAGGAGAGGGAGCATAACCTCTAGGGCAAGGCAGCATCCACCTCCTGAGGGCAGTTTGCTGGAGAAGGAGGTCCAGCGGTGAACTCTTAGCAGCTACACAACAGCTGGGGTGAGTAACCTGGCCAGCTAGTGGGAACGGGGTGGGCCACCAGAATTGGAATAACTGTTCCCAGGTGATTTTTTTTTCTTCTTTTTTTTTGAGACAAATTCTTGCTCTGTCAACCAGGCTGGAGTGCAGTGGCACAATCTTGGCTCACTGCAACCTCCACCTGCTGGGTTCAAGCAATTCTTGTTCCTCAGCTGCCTGTGTAGCTGGGATTACAGGTTCACGCCACCACACCCAGCTAAGTTTTGTATTTTTAGTAGAGATGGGGTTTCACCATGTTGGTCACGCTGGTCTCGAACTCCTGGCCTCAAGTGATCCACCTGTCTCAGCCTCCCAAAGTGCTGGGATTATAGGCATGAGCCACTGCACCTGATTCTTAGGTTTAATAAATCTTTTCTTAGGCTGTGTGTTCTAGTGTTCAGGAAGTAGCAGGCTATTGCCTGGGACAAGAGCAGGCAGCCACTTGAGGGTGCAGGGGGATTAGTCCGGGTGCACACAGACTTCTGTGTCTGGCCTCATTATATAGATGCCCCTTTTACTGCATTTTGCTTTTCCAACATGCCATTGAGGTAGCTCATAGTATTTCCACTTTCCAGGTGAGGAAACTGAGGCTCAGAGAAGTTAAGCAACCTGCTTCTTCCAAGGGCACTAAGTTAGTAAGTGGCAGACCCAGGATCCACACTTGGCAGCCTGGGACCTTTATCATGACACCCTAATTCCAAGACACTGAAGGACTTTAAGCAGAGAATTGACACAATCACTTGTAAAGGGTATAAAAGGTGACTGGGACAGCCACATGCAGGGAGGCTGGCAGACCCCTGTGGAGAGGCTATTGTGATGGTCCCAGTGTGAGCTGAGGGGGCCAGGGCTGCAGTGAGGGAGAGGAGGAGGGGCCAGACTGAGCCTCTGGGTAAGCAGCAGAATGGACAAAGCATCCTGGGGGGTAAGGAGGAGTCAGGAAGGACACCCAGGTCTCAGGCTGGACTGTCTGGGTAGGTAGAGCTGTCCTTAATGAGGAGGAGCAGGTTCGCAGAGAGATCCTTCTTTCTAGTGGGACAAAGCAGCCTCATCATTCCTGGTGTTTGAATGTTTTCATTGGCCAGAACCTCTACCTGAACAAGGCGGTGAATTTCAGCGACCACCTTCTGAGCAGTGCTGCCGAGGGTGATGGGGGGCTGTGCGGCAGCAGGTCCAGCTGGGGTGAGTTATTCCCTTCTGGCAATTTTAAAACAACTAACCAGGAACACATGGACTTGGCGGGGATAGCAGAGCATTGCTAAGAGTTTGACAGCCCAGTCACAGATCTTGCAACTATGTTCCAGTCATTTTATTTCTCTGGCTTCTCCGAAGTCAGAGGTGAGACCTTTGAATTCCTTTACAGGGCTTGGGGAAATTCATTTGTGGGGTGCACGTTTGGAACTAAAAACTGAAGTCCCTTCTTTTCCTCTCCTTCCCACCCTTCCTCTGGTTCCTGGACAGGGGAGTGGCTCCAGGAGTCTCTCCCGCCAGGTTTCATCAAATAGAAATTTCTATGAAAGCCATTTTGTCTTCTGACTTTTGAGGGACATGGGAGTAAGAAATAACTCTTTGTGTGGGGAGTTGGGGGAGGGGCATAATTTTTTTCCCCAACTGTGTCATTTCAGTGAGTGACTACAGCCAGAGCACCTCAGATACTATTGAAAAAATCAAAAGGATAAGGAATTTCAAGACCAAAGCTTTTCAAGAAAAGAAGGAGCAGCTTTTAGTAAGTGTCTTTTTTGGTCCTTATGGATATTGTCTTCAGTCTGTGATTTTCAGGTTTTATTTGACTTTTTTAAAATGGAAGAATAATTTCTCATTTTCTGTTCCTTTTTTTTAACAAGGGCTTCTATTTTGTAGAGGTAGACTTCTTTAAAATAGCTCAAGATTATGAATTAGAGTTATTTCAAAGTTCCCATCAGTTCCCTGAATCATCTCTGTGTTTCCTCTGGGGTCAGTTCTGTCTGCCTATCTTTCTCTTTCTTGTCTTTGGTTTGCCTCAAATACAGATCCTTGGTTATCTGGTCGTTTGACAAATGAAGACTAGTTAGGTAGTGCAGATGCTGGCATGGTGCCCAGCATGAGGATGGGCCCTGAAGTCCCTGTGTGAGTGGATGGGCATGTTGTGGACAGACGTCCCTGGAGGGTGTGTGGGCAGGGAGCAGGAGAAAGCCTTCAGATCCTCTATGTTGCTGGTGGAAAAGGTCTTCCTCTGGTGGTGAGGGTGTTGGTGGTGTGAAGCATTCTCACAGGTTTCAGTTTGTGATGAAGCTTTTTTCCTTTCCCTCTACACCCTCCCCGATGTCCGTCATGGAGGTCTAGGCTCTGCCCTTCTCCCTTCTTGGGCCCCATTGCACCAAATAGAATCCTTTGCTGGGCAAATCTTATACTTTCTGCAAAATAGTTATCAGGGCAAAGACCACAAGCCTCCTGCCCTTCTTACATGGGGGAGAAGGGGTAAGGCACCAGAGATCTCAGCTATTCACCATAGAGCCCTTAGTAATCTACTCATGCATTCAGGCTGCACCCAACACCTAACCTCTATAGGGATTAATTTAAGCTTTTGCAGGGCTCCCCTGGAGAGAAAACACTCCTACCTCTGGTGTCTTCAGCTGGATTTTTGTTTGTTTGTTTTGGTTTGGTTTCCCTGTCAGTCAGATTTCATCTACTTTCAGTCTTCTTGGAATTTCTCAAAATTACCAATTCACCGATGGTCAGTACCCTTTCAGAGTTTCCCATATCTTTTAGAGTTCTGTGTTTTAAAAATATATGCCAAGAATAATTCTAAAAGGGGCTTTGGAGAAAAGAGCAGTGGATGCCACCTGCTCCATCCCCAACCTTGCCTTTTAATTGGTCCTCTTTGACTGCAATGCAAAGAACAGATGTGATTAGCAGCAAGCCCCAAGGCCCGGGCCCAGGCCTGAGCTAGACACTTGCATGATGCTGGGTGCTTCCCTCCATGTGTGGTTCCAAGGCCAGGCCCTCAATGGGGCCTTGTCAGTGCAGGCACCAGCTCCCCAGCTTGCATCCTGATTCCTCTGGGGGTGGGGACTCTGTTCTTTATCTTATTTTTTTTTTCACACCACATGCTTTGTATGTAACAAACACCAGTAAATTTGGAAAGAATACGTTAGAATTGTTTTACCTTTTATTGTTTAGGACTTCTTGTACTCACCACCTTCTCCCAGTTTGAAATATTGTTAATGAGTATAAAAGAAGCATAGAGTTCCATAAACTGAACAGCTTACAATTTGGGAGACTCTACCTATTTACTCTGTGTATAACCTGAATCTCCCACTGTGTATGCCTTTTTTTTTCTCATTTGCATTTAGGGGATACGTATCAGAAGCTGTAACTTTTGTTCAGTCATTCAGTGATGATTTTTGAGCACACATGTACCAGGCACTGCTGTACGTGTTGAAAATAAAACCTGAACAAAAGACGTAAACCCTCACACCTCCTGAAGCTGACAGTCCAGTGCATTCTAGTACACTTTTCCATGAGGAATGGAAATGGGTGTAAACAAGTGCTCCCCAAGACCCCTGCTGGGGGTTTACTGATTAGAGCACTTGGTTCCAAGCTATTCATCGGTAAGATGGGGACAGCGAGAAAGGAGGCGGCACCGCCTGGACCAGGCGTCATCTTCAAAGGCTCAGAGGCCTTGACCAGTATCCTCATGGCCATGGCTTCACAGGAGCAAGGACAGGGAAGGTTTTATTTCTACTTTACAAATGGAAATGGTGGTCCTGTGACCACCCCACAGCCATATCCGGGATCCAGAGGCAACATACTAAAAGCAATATCTCTTGCTTTCTAAACAGCTTCCTTCAGTCTTCCAGCATTTGAAATTCTTTATATATAAAGATGTATATATGGCATTTAAAAACATAAAAAGATAAGTTCTTCAGCCAGGCCCAGTGGCTCACGCCTGTAATCCCAGCACTTTAGGAGGCTGAGGAGGGCGGATCATGAGGTCAGGAGATCGAGACCATCCTGGCTAACACGGTGAAACTCCATCTCTATTAAAAATACAAAAAATTAGCCAGGAGTGGTGGCACATGCCTGTAGTCCCAGCTACTCGGGAGGCTGAGGCAGGAGAATCACTTAAACCTGAGAGGCGGAGGTTGCAGTGAGCCAAGATCATGCCACTGGCACTCCAGCCTGGCGACAGAGCGAAACTCCATCTCAGAAAAAAAAAAAAAAGAAAAGAAAAGAAAAGAAAAAAAAAGATATTGAGATTTCTGAGAGCTTTTCTTCTATGTTTTGTTTTTTGAGTCAGAGTCCCACTGTGTTGCCCAGGCTGAAGTGCAGTTGTGTGTTCTCGGCTCACTCAAACCTTTGCCTCCTGAATTCAAGCGATTCTCCTGCCTCAGCCTCCCAAGTAGCTGGGATTATAGGCATGCTAACACGCCTGGCTAATTTTTATATTTTTAGTAGAGACAGGGTTTCGCCATGTTGGCCAAGCTGATCTCGAACTCCTGACGTCAAGTGATCTGCCTGCCTCGGCCTCCCAAAGTGCTGGGATTACAGGCGTGAGCTACTATGCCCGGCCTTTTTTTCTAAAGAAGTCAATGTATTGGCTCATTCATTCCTCAGGGGAGTACATTTTCTGAACTGTCATACTTCAACTGACCTTGAACACTTTATAAAGTATGCAAAATAAATTTTAGGACTCACCTGATTGCTTTTCCTAGAGCTAGTCATAATAAAATTAGTGTTGAGTTTCTGGGTTTTGTGAGGTTTCTCATGGCATCCTTGTCCTTAATATAAAACAGTATGGCATCCTTGTCCTTAATATAAAACAGTGTCCATGTGGTAGCCCTGCCTGAAGCAAGGTTTTGAAGCAGCAAGATTGGCATTAGATGTGGATATTTGTGCTGTGGGCTATTTGAAGACCACACACACACTCTCATGCACACATTCATAGTCACCTGCCCTTGTGACTTAGAATTCAACGTTGGAAAGAAAGTGTTTGCCTTGAGTGACTATTTTGAGGCGGGGAAAATGACCACATTCTGTAAATCCTACAGCCTGAAAACAGACTCCTGCTGAAGGAAGTCGGACCCACGGGGGAAGGAAGAGTCTCTGTGATTGAACAGCTGCTGGATGAGGCAAGTGTCGCCAAAGGAGCAGATCTCTCTGAAGAGGTCAGCCTGGCATTCCACCTCTGTCTCCTTCAGATGGAAGGTTTGTTCAATACTGTGAAAATGACACTGCCCTTTGATTAAAAACTCAGGGTGCAGTGAATGGCTAGTCAAAAGCTTGATATTAATTGTTCCCTGTTGCTAGTTTTTATATCAGAGAAAATAGGCAGAGAAGCACAGATGAGACCAAGGAACATGCATGAAGCTGGATAGAATCTCTGGCCCGTGACCCCATATTACCTTTATCCTGGGTTTCCTGAAGAAGCAAGTTGTCAGGGTGCTGCCCTCCCCTCCCCGCCCGTGCTGGAAACAGAAGTTTTGTCACCCGGGTCACTTTGTAGCTCTGTTAATTGTAGATCTGGTCTTGAGGTTCCTGATTCTCCTCTCCTTTGATCTGAAAGCACGTTCGTTCCATCAGCTCTGTAAAGCACATCTGTTATACCTCATACGGTGGCGACTGGATGCTGTTGAGTGCAGGGTTTTTTGGCGAGTTCTTCCTTTTCCATTTGCTGCAGGGAGCAGACCCCAACTGCTGTGATGAAGACAATCGACCCGTCATAACCGTGGCTGTTATGAATAAGCACCATGAAGCGATTCCGGTTCTCGTGCAGAGAGGAGCAGACATCGACCAACAGTGGGGGCCGTAAGTGAAACACATTGACCAACAGTGGGGGCCGTAAGTGAAACACATTGACAGGAGAGCTAAGGTAGCAGCAGGCTAACTGCTTGGAGCTCCACTGCGGCAGAAGCAATCTACACACACGCCCTGTTCAGTTTCAGCCACTTCAACCATTTTAACCTATTTCAGCTTTAATAAGAGGCTTAACGCCTTCTGTTTTCCGTAGCTGGGTAAAGCGAAATTTTAAAAATGGACTATTGGGTTGTCTAATTTAGTGGCTTTCATAAATGATGATACATTTTGTTAATTCATAAGCTTATACTGTATGGTGCCAGTAAATCCTTAGCCCTTGGGGTGTTAATCAGTGTTTTCATCATGAATCATGGTAACACCAAGGGAAGACACACCTCAGTGTATTCCCCATGAAGTTAATGCGGAAAGAAAATGTCATATGGTTGTCTCCAGATCTCACACACTGCGGAGGAGACTGGCACATCTGAGGCCACCACGTGGTCTCCTGCTGCCTTGCTTTCCCACCCGTGATACAAGACAGAAAGGTACCAAGTCCTGTTACTTACTGTCCTAGTCTTGGTCCACTCCTGTCCCATAACCTTCTCTTCCAGCCATATGCTTCTGTTGTTCTCTTGAAAATTACTTTGAAAATGTGAGGTGAAAATTTCCTCGAGCATGAGTCATTCATGTTAACTGCTCATATCTTGCCGACCACGTTGTTGACGTAAGTCTTCTAGGGACATGACAGGCATCTAGCACTCCTGCCTCCTGAGGTCTTACTAAGGCAAGGTCAAGGTCCGTGTCAGTGGAACATTCAGCTGTGTACTTCGTGCCACCACAGAGGCCAAAATTTCAGTAGCTTTGCTTGTTATTCTGTTTCAGAATTGTCTCTAGTGTTAGTGTTCAAAATATAATGCTGTTAATTTTTCTATATGCATTTTACTAATGTCTGCATTTTAATAGTTTCTACCCCTTTTTTTTAGTTTTATTTTACAGCAGAATATTTGGTGTGTTGGTGTAAAGCTTTGATGGTTGGAATTTATTTTCTCAAGTTTGCTTAGGGTTTACTGTGTCAACTTCTTTATTTATCCTACACTGTTGTATTATTGTCATTATTAATAAAATGGTGCTACCTTGTTTTGTGTTGAGGCATATTTTATATTTTTATAATTCAGAAAAGCTTTTTTAATAGCATTTAAGTATGTTTGTGGTTGATACAGAAATTACTTGAGCACATTTTGAATTGAAGTGTAAGCTGCATGAGTCCTGGCTTTATGAAGAGTCCAGCTAAGAGGAGGAAAGTGCCCTGGGCATTGAACAGATTGCCTTTTTATTTTGCTGTGCCTCAGCTTCCATGTTTGCTTCATCACCATTCTACAAATTGGCATTTATCCACATGTGTTCTCATCGCATGTCTGTAAAGTCTAATGCTGCGGTTACACCTGTCTATCTGAATGGTGCGTAGTAGCCTTTGTCACCCCCCTGCAGGATCATGGTGACTGTGGCCAGTATGTAGCTCACATGGTTGTGGGGAGGAAAGCTAGAGGGTTGGCCCTCTCTTAAATATGGCACAGGGATCTCTTCTTCCTTTCCAGTGCATGCCAGTAGAGGAAAGTAGCATTTCCCACTGACAGCCACATTCTGCCAAGTCTGGTTTGTATCTGTTAGTTCCAAGAGTTTGGGCCTGGAGCTGGACCTCTGTAGACACAGGAACATGACCTCGAAATTCCATCCATCCTATTGCTTTTAGGCATAAATCATCCAGAGATCTGGTTTTACCATAAAAGAGGTTCAGAGAGTTGTTCCTTAGCAAACAATTAAAATGCTCTCTCCCATCCGAGCATGTTTGGCTAGTGGAGCCTAAGTGGTCTCTACACCAGATAACTTCCATTAAGTAGCTTGGCAGGTGGCAGAAAGCTCTTTCCTCATTTCCTAGTTCCTAGTTCCATTTCCTAGTTTGTATCATTCCTACCAGAATGAAATCATATTCAACACAAGGGAATGGCTAAGAGAAATTCACATCCTCCACCAAAGCTCATTCCTCTTACTAGCACATTTCAGAAACACAGATTCAAGATCTCACTAGGTGAGAGACCCAGAGAAATGCTGTTTGCTTTTGGACAAGAGCTGCCCTTCCTCACTGCACTGGCGATTCCAAATGTGCCATCCCCTGGCTCTGCCCCAGTAGCCAGGTGAGGAAGATGCAAGCATCAGTCTACTTCTTAGAGGTTTGGCTGTGGACACTTATTCCATTAGGTAATTTAAGGAGAGAATGTACATTAATCTACCATGATACTTAGATTTGAGTAAATAGTTTGAATTGTTTGTATATTAATAGTAAAGTTTCTTTAAAGTACAAATTCCATGGCAGAGTCACCATTCAGCATTTTCCAAAACTGAACTGTGGATCCACAGGAAATAGCCAGCACAGAAAATCTAACCACCAGCAAACACCCCATGCAATACATAGAATGAATCCTCTGCTCTCAATTTGGAGAGAATTGTAAAGAAAGAAGATCATAACTCTACATAGGAGACGTGGTAACCCTATGAATATATCCCAGTTCAAATGGTAAATGCCTTATAAAGGCCCAAGGAACCGTAGGGGGTGAAGTGACAGACAGTTAAGCTCTATGCCACCAGTGAGGAAGAAAGAATGAAAGATAGGGAGGAAATGGAGTCTTTTCCAGACTAATTCCAGTTAAACCTCTTTTTTTGTGAACTGCCCAGTCTTGGGTATGTCTTTATCAGCAGTGTGAAAATGGACTAACACACTAGCACACAGCATAGCCCATGAACATTCAATGGCAAATTCTTCATTTGTGACCAGTTTGTTCTTTCTGAAAGCATTTATCCTTGATGTTCTGAAATTTCACAAGGGTATTTTTAGATGTGCTGTTTTTGATTCACCCAGTTGGCCTTTTCGATTTAAAAAGTCTTATCTTTCTTTAGGTTAGGAAAAATTTGTTCTATTATCTCTTGGGCATTTTCTCCCCTCCATTTTTCTATTCTCTTTCTAGAACTGTTAGTTGGATAGTGGACTACTTGAATTGATTCCTTATGTCAGTCTTTCTTTTGTGTTTTTCCATAGTTTCATCTATCTTTCTCTCTTCCATCTTTCGAGAGATTTTCCTAACTTTGTTGTCCATTCTTCCTATTGAATAATTGTTATTTGAATAATCGCATTTATTCTTTCTAGGAGCTACTTTTGTTCTGATTGTTTCTTTCTCATAGTTTCATATTTTTGTGCAACATTGTCTTGAATCATTCTGCAGATACCAGTTAGATTTTTGTCTTGTTTTAAATTCCTCGTGTTTGTGTATCTTGGTTTTCTCTTTGATTCTGCAGGATTTTCTCAGATGTCTATGAGCCTTGGTTGTCCATTCACATTTGAGAATGGAGTTCGCACTAGATGACTGGTAACTTTGTATATAAGAGAAGGGCTTTGCCAACCAAGAGGCTTTCTGGGTAGGTGGAGCTACTCCCAGGCTGGGACCCCTGGGTGCCCGAAAGTGAAAGGCTTCCCTCTGATTCTCACCAGAGGCTCTCTTTATCTTCCTCAGAGAAGAAGCCACTATCCTTTTTCTCCATAGGGATAAATGCATGGCTGCAGGCACATCTGCAGGTGTGGGGGATGAGGGTGTTGGCATCAAAGGAAGGGGCAGGGGCAGAGAGAGTTCAGACATTCAATGCCTGTCTCATTTCCACTTTCAGTCATGACTCTTGCCCTCCTTCACTCCTGCCACCTCTGCATAGGAGCCTTTCAGGAGCCCTGGTACCACCCTGACCTCCATTTCAGTTGCCCACTCCTCCCTCACTAGGTCAAACCTGACTAGGAAATACGAAGAGAAACCCTGGCATTGCAGCAAAATATGCTGTGTCTGACCTCTCAGGCCTGCTCCCTGGCTTCTAAGATTGGTGTTTATTTTCATGTCACATAAGCCCAACTCACTGGAGCCAAGGTCATTTTCCCTACACAAAAATAGGAGCCTCAGCCCTGAGAAGCTACTATCATGCCCGAGGGGTCCAAGCCAAAGTTAAGACTATGTCCAATACGTTGCATAAACTCTTGCAGGCAGTTTAGAACAATGGTATTTATTAGCATTTATTAAATCAACTACCAACCATATCCTTGTGGGTTTCTCGCATTAAAAAATGAAGGTGTTTATAACCTTTTCACTGTCTAGTATCAAAGCTTACCCTCTATCACAGTATTCCTCCAAGAGAAGGGCAGAGAGAGGAGACTCAAAAGGTTTCCCAGGTTAGTTAAGTAGGTCGATGAAAAAAACCAGGACCTTGGGTCCCATGCATCCTATCCAGTTTCCTGATGATGCTAACTAAGGATTTATCCCGGATTTTTTTCCCCCTAATTAGGCTCAGAAATACAGCTCTTCACGAAGCTACTCTGCTTGGCCTTGCAGGAAGAGAGAGCATCGCCACTTTACTGGGGTATGTCCCCTGGCCTCTGATGGATACTTTTGAGGGCCACAGGTATCTCCCTAATGGCCTGTGATGATTTTCAGAGAGGCCTTGGTTCCTGAACTGCTGTCCCTGTCCGTGGGGACCACCATCCCACCACGGTTCCCTGGGCACTAAAGGCTTTTCAAAGCACAATGAAAATGTTGCCCCCATTAAACATACTTGGTTGTAGGACTTTAATGCAATGGGAACCAATGGCCAGGGTTAGCAATTGGACATTTTGAAATCACAGGCCTCTTTAAAGGTTTCAGGGTAGAGCCACCTCTGAGAACTGAAGTCACTGTGACCTCTCGAGGACAGGTTTGGGGAGGTGGGAGCAGGAGGGGCCCAGACTGGCCTCCGTGGAAGGGAAGAGTCAAGCTCTTAGGGGCACATGCTCAAGTCCTTCAGTGCACCTCCATTTCTCCATTTCCTTTGCAGATGCAATGCAAGCATCCGAAAGAAGAATGCAGGAGGCCAGACAGCGTACGACCTGGCTCTGAACACTGGAGATGACCTCATCACCTCACTCTTTGCTGCCAAGTTTGGCCAAGGACTCGAGGACCAACTCGCCCAAACTAGGAGCCTCAGACTGGATGACTGTTAGACCTGAGGCCTCCCCGGGACTTCATTTAAGAATATGTGCGGTGGCTGGCACGGTGGTTCATGCCTGTAATCCCAGTGCTTTGGGAGGCTGAGGCTGGCAGATCACCTGAGATCAGGAGTTCAAGAGTAGCCTGACCAACATGGAGAAACCCCGTCTCTACTAAAAATATGAAATTAGTCAGGCATGCTGGCGCATGCCTGTAATGCCAGTTACTCGGGAGGCTGAGGCAGGAGAATCACTTGAACATGGGAGGTGGAGGTTGTGGTGAGCCAAGATCGTGCCATTGCACTCCAGCCTGGGCAACAAGAGCAAAACTCCGTCTCAAAAAAAAAAAAAAAAAAGAATATGTGCAGCTCTGGCTATTCTTTAATCATGTCTTTTTAAAATGTGTATTTGAGGTTGAGAGGAACTCAGGAGATTTTTTTAAAAAATCATATGACAGTATAAGCCATCAGTACTAAATGGACAGCTCCCAGTATACTGTGGGCTGTGATAAACTGAATGTATGTTTTTTAATGGTTTATTGCTGCAGTTTTTTTATGTATTTGATTTTTAGTTTTTGACTTATTTTTCAATAGGTAATAATTGCACATGGTTCACAGCTAAAAGGTATGAAGTATTATGTAGGGATGTGTCCCTCCCATCCTGTCCCACAGCCACCACCTCCCTCCTCAGCCACCAATGACACCAGCGTCGACTTGCCTTTCCAGGGGTTGTGCAAAGTTAGATATGCACATACATGTGGTATAAGCACATGTACATAGAAGTACACATAGAATATAAACATGTCTGTAGCACATATATATTCTTTCCCCTCTTCTAAAACAAACGGTAGCAAACCAGCCACACACTGTTCTGCATCTTGTTCTTTTTGCCCGATACGTCTTGTAGGTGGCCCCTAATTAGTATGTAAAGATTGACCTTATTTAAATTTTTTTATGTTGAAATCATCAATATTCCCATCATTATGGTTTGTTCTTTGACTGACAAATCAGCTCTCAATAAACCGCTTTGCAGGAATGTGTAATTTTGACTCATTCCTTTCTTCAGGTCATTATTTTCATCTTTGGGTGATAATGCTGCAGTTGTGAAGTCCCTAACTAGTTTATGTTAATGTAGGTAAATAGAATATGTATTAATTTACCATAATTAATTCAGAACAATAAGGGCCTTGGGGTGGTTACTGTTATCACTACCTGCACTTTACTCCCCTAGACTGGGCGGCTGTCTGTGGGAGGACAGAGGGTGCAAAGTCGTGGGAACACAGGCCCCTGGGCAGGCACTGGCACTGCTCCTGCCCCATCAGCCCCTCAGCCACCAGTGTAAGGGAGGCTGCTGCGTGGTGGCCAGTGTCCAGGGAGACTGGGGAGTGCGATCATCTGGTTTGGGGGTGGTAGTTTGCCCTGTGTCAGCTTGACTGGGACTACTTTGGTCAGAATTTTCTTCCCCTATGGTTCTCTTCAGGGTTGGCCCCAAGAAAAACTGCATGACATTCAGAAGATAGAAGAAAAGCAACAGCAGTCATGCTTGGATGGTGGGTAGAGGGCACCAGGTGCCTCTGCCACTCACATCCTGTGTGAAGGAAGGGATAGAAGTGCTTGCCACAACCGAGCAGCAAGCCCTGCCTTTGGGATGGAAGAGGATGGATGTTTATTGGGATCAACACTTGCGAAAAGATGGTGCAGAGGGAGAAGTCGAGTTGGGGGTAATGGGGTTCGAGGCCATTTTTCCCAGACCTCAGGGAGCGGGGAGGGCCTTATGGACCCGTGGGTTCTAGAAACAATCGCCTTGGGGTTCTTGGGGGGAACTTTTGTGTCCTGAGTGCAGGAACAATGCTTTTAACACCTCTTGGGTTTTCCACACTCCGTCTTAGAGGATCCTACCTTCTGAAACCAAGAGACCCTTCCAGTGCCAACTGGCCAGACTCAGGAATCGGTAAAGCACGCATCTGATGTCCCATGCTAGGGTCCTTTCCTTTCTCTAAAGCTCACAGCCTACACTCATCACCCTTGAATTTCACTCTTTCAGAATCAAACCTCAGTTAAAATAGGACTAAAAACTGAAAAGGTAGCCTAATATTTAACAGTTTCTGATGAAATCCTACAGGGTCACATAAAATGTTCTATTGGTATTAAACTATATGTTTTCAGAAAAATTAAACACATTTTAAGGCAGAACATTTCTGATGTCAAAAATCGTGGTTTTTTTTTTTTTTTTTTTTTTTGGTCCTTTCTAAAGCTTTCTTTTTCTTTTCCGAATGACAGGGCTTATTGAGGGAGCAGAGCCACTTTAAGTGAAACGAAGTGAGATTTTAAAAATTTTTTGTTTTTTAGAGACAGGGTATTTCTGTGTCACCCAGGCTGGAATGTAATGGTGCGATCATAGCTCACTGTAACATCAAACTCCTGGGCTCAAGCTATACTCTCGCCTCAGCCTCTGGAGTATCTGGGATTACAGACACACACCACTGTACTCAGCTAATTTATTTTACTATTTTTTTTTTTCTGGTAGAGACAGGGTCTCCCTGTGTTGCCTACAGGCTGATCTTGAGCTCCTGGGCTCAGGTGATCCTCCCACCTCAGCCTCCCAAAGTGCTGGGATTACAGGTGTGAGCCACCATGCCCAGCCTGGAACAAGGGATTTATTAAAGAAGTTATACCCTCTGCAGTGCTTGAGCTGGTAAGTTTGATGGTGGGCCTGAAGTTGCTGTATCTTGGTTACATTCAGGAAGCACAGGTGAGCGTGAAGGGGACGAGCAAGGACAAACTGGAACCCATGGGGACACATCTCCCTCCTCCATCTTCCAGGTCACAGGCAACTTGCAGGAGACATGCCCTTTCCCATGAAACTTGCCCCAGGCTGGGCTCTCCAGAAGCAGATGCCAAGACAGTTTGGGATGGAAGAGGATGGATGTTTATTGGGATCAACTCTTGTGAAAAGAAGGTGGAGAGGGCAAAGTCAACTGCTATGTGGCCCAACAGTGCCTCAGCCACCAGTGGTGCTCCCATGAGCCATATTTGCCCATCATGGTGTCCACTGTGCTTTTGTAGCCCCTCTGGCAGACGGGAGCTTCCCCAGAAGGGACAGGACCTCAGGCAAGGCAGCTCTCTGAAGTTGCTGATAGCTGGAGGCCATCTGCTGCCACACTCGCTACAGCCAGGGCAGCAAGCCCTACCTGGAAAGGGGATGTGGGTGGTGCATCTCTGCCTGCCATAAAGCTGCATAGGTGCCCGACCCAGGTTGTAGGACAGCTGAAGGCAGAGATCAGGAGGAGCTGGTGAAGCCACAGGCCTGGCTGCTGCCCACACCTGCCAGATGAGCCAGGGGTTAGTGACTGTGTCCTCCCTGGATCTGGTCCTGAGGCCATGTCCTCCCAAGGCCTGGCTGCTCTTCCTGGAGGGGCTGTCTCTGCTTTGCAGGCTTGTCCTATGTTGCCAGTGGGCTTCGGTGGGCTGGCTTGCCATTCCCTCTTTTCCACTGAGGTGAGTTCCCATGCACTCATTGCCCATTTGGGTTTCTTCTATTTTTCTTATTGACTTAGAGAATTTCTTTACATCCTCTTGAATCAGAATATCTTCTAGAGTCCAGACAGCGCTGTCTTTAATAGAAAAACAATCTGAGCCACATACACAATCATAAATTTTCTAGTAGCCATACTTCTAAAAGTACAGAGAAACAAGCAAAATTAATTTTACTGGGATACATTGCAAAAGAAGACATACATGTGGCCAGAAAACATTAAAAAAAAAAAAAGCTCAGTATCACTGATCATTAGAGAAATGCAAATCAAAATCACAATGAGATACCATCGAACACCAATCAGAATGGCTATTTTTAAAAAGTCAAAAAATAACATGCTGGCGAGATTGTGGAAAAAAGGGAATACTTCCACACTTTTGGTGGGAGTGTAAATTAGTTTAACCGTTGTGGGAAACAGTGTGGTGATTCCTCAAAGAGCTAAAAATAGAAACACCATTCAATCCAGCAATCTCATTACTGGGTATACACACAAAGGAAAATAGATCATTCTACCATGAAGACCCATGCATGTATATGTTCATTGCAGCGCTATTCACAATAGCAAAGACATGGAATCAACCTAAATACCCATCAATGATAGATTGGATAAAGAAAATGTGGTACATATACACCATGACATACACTATGCAGCCATAAGAAAGAACGAGAGCGTGTCTGTTGTGGGAACATGGATGGAGCTAGAGGCCATTATCCTTAGCAAACTAACACAGGTACAGAAAACCAAATATCACATGTTCTCACTTATACATGGGAGCTGGCCAGGCACAGTGGTTCACGCCTGTAATCCCAGCACTTTGGGAGGCTGAGGTAAGCAGATCACCTGAGGTCAGGAGTTGGAGACTAACCTGGCCAACATAGTGGAACTTCGTCTCTACTAAAAATACAAAAGTTAGCTGGGCCTGGTGGTGGGCGACTGTAGTCCCAGCTACTCGGGAGGCTGAGGCAGAATTGCTTGAACCCAGGAGGCAGAGGTTGCAGTGAGTTGAGATCTTGCCATTGCACTCCAGCTTGGGTGACCAGAGTGAAACTCCATGTCCCAAAAACAAACAAACAAACAAAAAAAAAAAAAAAACAGGGGGAAGCTAAATGATGAGAACAAATGGACGTAAAAAGAGGGACAACACCAGCAGGGCGCAGTGGCTCACACCTGTAAGCCCAGCACTTTGGGAGGCCGAGGTGGGTGGATTACAAGGTCAGGAGATCGAGACCATCCTGGCTAACATGGTGAAACCCCATCTCTACTAAAAATACAAAAAATTAGCTAGGCGTGGTAGTGGGCACTTGTAGTCTCAGCTATTCGGGAGGCTGAGGCAGGAGAATGGCGTGAACCCGGGAAGCAGAGCTTGCAGTGAGTCGAGATTGTGCCACTGCACTCCAGCCTGGGTGACAAAGCGAGACTCCGTCAAAAAAAAAAAAAAAAAAGAGGGACGATACCCACTGGGGCCTCTCAGAAGGTAGAGGCTGGGAGGAGGGAGAGGATCGAAAAAATAACGATTGGGTACTAGGCTTAGTACCTGGGTAACAAAATAGTCTGCACAATAAACCCCCGTGATATGAGTTTACCTATATAACAAACTCTGAACCGAAAATAAAAGTTTTAAAAATATTTTACTAGAATAAATATTATTTCAATTTATGATTCATCTAAATTGTTAATACAATAGTCTATATATTTTATGTTATTTTTTCACACCAAGTCATTGAAATCTGGTGTGCATTTTACCCTTACAGCACATCTTAATTCAATTCACCACATTTTAAATGCCCCCTACCTGCACATGGTGGTTGGCCACGGCATAGTTCTAGAACCTTCTACCTGTGTAATAACACACATTGAAGTCATTGCATTCTGATTCCCGCTAGGATACTAGCAGCACAGATACACTCATTTGAAGCTTGCATCTTTGTGGTTGGTGGGTTTTCCTTGTCTAATCCAGGAAGAGTTCCTCCCCATCACCTGTGCTAGGCCACAACTCCAGGCGCTCTGGTCAAGGTGCCCAGTAGGATAAAGAAAATTTACAGGGTCATTTATTCTGTTGTCTCCAAGACATCTCTTCAGAGGACCTCAAGAACGCACATCACTTGCTTCTTTTCCAGCTTCGATTTCTGACTGCTTCGGAGTCAGGTTTTTGCTTTTTCCTGGACAAATAGAAAATAAAGAGCATCTCTTGGATTCTCATCCACCTTCCCGCTCTTCAAGTAATTGCAAACCTAGCCTCCCTTTGTGGTTTTCTAAGGGTAGGGCCTTGTGGGAACATAGAACAGACAAGGTAAAATGACCCATTCTCTGCTCTCCCCTCCTTTTTCATTGTAGATCCCAAAAAGAGAACCAAAAGGCCACATATACCTTTATCCCTCAATGAACAGGAAATGAAGTGTGTTCACCTTCTCAGATGCACACGCGGATGCAGTTAACTGCCTTGTGTTTTTCTGAATGGAAGGAAGAGGGGCCTGGGCCCACAGAGCCACCTGGGAGCCGCTTCTGCG